AAAAAAAAAAAAAAGAAATTACTACAGTATCCGACACAATAACTAATAAATATTAGTTATACTGAACAGTGACTTACTTTGGGTTCAAGCACCTAACAAACTATTTTCTTAAATGAAATAGAATCATTATAAAGAATTATTTAAGAATTTTTAAAAAATTGGTATATAAGAGAGTTGGGGACATGCGCTGCAACAAAATACCCAGATCTGTATTGCAATAATGATATTTTTAATTGTGTTTTGGCAATCATTTTCTGTCTATTTAACACTGTACTGTATCACTTCCAAACTACAGTTCAGAAGATCTAAATTTAATTTTACTTTGTCATGAACTCTTACAGAAAATAATTATCTCACTGGCCTAAACAAACAAAAAGGCACAAAAAAACTGCTCACAAATAAAACCACATTTACATGTTATGTACTATAGTAAAGATGGTTATCGAGCAATTTCAAGCAATTTACCTGGTATCTATTTTTCACACTGTTCTTTCAAATCTTACATACGTTAATCTCTACTATTTATAAATAGACTACTCCAACAACCTATCAGCCATACTGTTACTGGAATGATCAAGGAGTATAAATTTTAACAGAAGAAATTCAGCTATCAATTATGCTATACCAAAATATTGTACAAGGACTCATTTTTCATTAGGAATATATCAGGTACCAAGTTAAAGGTACCCAAATCTTAGTCCATCCATATTATTTTGATTGTCACTATTAACTAAGTGTATGTTGTCTCTGAGTTTTAATCATACTAACCTGAGTCAACAGGGCTTCCTAATGGACTCTTTTAAATGACAGAGCACATACATGGAGACCGAAAAACTAGGTTTGGCCCCAATAAAACTATTTACTAAGTATGTGATCTTCCACAAGCCCCTTAACTTCTCCATGCCTCTCCTTCCTCTTCTAAAAGATGAGGATCCTACCACACCTTTGTCTGACTCATAGGACTAGGGAAATTATATAAAGAAAAACACATGGAAGAGCTCTAGAGAAGGGCCATGTTAGATACATGTAATATCAACACCCAGGGACTTTGTTCTAATACTGGATTTGGTTAGAATGACCAGTCTATTAAAAGTGTAATTTTAGAGAAAATTATTCTTGAGAATATCAGAAAAAAATGTAACATCTTTACCATATCCTTTGAATAAGATCTGAGAGCAGTTTTAAAAAATGTATTGGTTATCTACCCTATCACTATGTAAGAAAAAATTCACTAGACAGTGCTCATTCGTTCTTCCCTGTGTGTGTGTTCAATGGCTATAATTCTATCTCACCTGAATGTATTTTGGTAATTTTATTAATTTACAGCCTGTTCTGTTCCAGGCTTATTCTGACAAGTTGCTTAAAAGTCTCTGGAAGTAGTCACAGATGATCCTTTTTTTACCTCTACTCCTGGTTTTCATTTATTTTTATATTCTAGCCTTTTCTACCTTATATTTCATGGAAAAGTAGGTATAATAAAGAGTTTTTAATTTAAAAAATGAAAAAAAAATATTCACAACTAAGTCACTAAAAGCAAATGTTCCCTCACTTCGTCTCCTCAGTAGACTCCATACATGCACTCTAACAGGATACCAGAACCACAAATAATAGAAAAATCCATTTAATTTACACTATATACTTTACCAAGGTTAAAATACACAGAGCAGAAAAATAAATCAGGATTGATTTCTCAAGGAGGCATATCTGAAGGATGATTTTGAAAAAAATGAATGGTGATTCTGAAGTAAATGGGACATGAGGACAAGGAGAGAACAGAACAGAATATGATAAAAATTTTTAAAATATTTTATGATTTTACACAGAGAGTCACTGGAATACTCTTATCTCTAGGTGACCCATCAGGTGTATAGAAAGACTCGGAAGCCCTAAGATAAATGACTGTTAGCTAAAGTCACAGGATTAGAAATTTTGAGAGAAAAGAGGATCTAGATAATACTCATAAAAAGATGTCAAAAGACAGAGAATGAGGGAAAATGAAATGAGAATGATCTGAAAAATAACAAACAATATATGAGGGAAGTGTGCAGCTTCAAGGAGAATGAGTAGTCAAAAAACACAGAAGAAAAACACATTAAGATTGGTCTGACTAGTAGGTCTATAACAGATGTAATGGGATGATTCTAATAGCAAAGATGGATGTCCTAGCAATGGACTGAGGTAAGACAAGCAGTTAAAAAAAAAAAAAAGAAATTTGTGCATTCCACCCATTTAAAATATTCACTCAGGAAAACATGGAGAAAATGATATGAAAGCTAAAGGGAGACCTGAGTGTTTCAAGGCAAAAAGGAGGCTTCATTCGCTCTAAATAGTTAGTGTGTTACAGCTGAGAGAGTCCGACTGATAAATACGTATGTTTCAGACCTAAGTTAGGCACTTTGGGGGACGGGGAACCTGACTTCTGTCACAAGGGAACAGAAAGAACTTAATCTCAAGCCACTTATTATTTATTTATTTATTTTTGGTATCACAGTCGGCCCATACCCTCAGTGGTATTTATTTACAAGGTAATTAGAAACTTGTCAGGTGAAAAGGCAAGAAGTCCAAACGGAAAATGGTATTGAAAATATAAAACACCAAAGTGAAAAGGTCAGTAATTTACACTTGAAAACAATTTTAAATAAAATCCAAACGAAAAACTGAAAATTTTAAAATGTAACTGCTAGAGGCATGGTATCCATGTCATATGTAAAGTTACTAAATTTTTAAAAAGGGTAATATAGGTTTTATTTTGATATTGCCACCATCATTTAATGACCAAGATTTCTTGGATAACTTCTACCAAAGACATGATTTCCTCCTTAAAACAGGCATAAAATGGATGATGGGGGTGACTTGGGTACCTAAGAGTTGTGAAAAGTGTCTCCAAAATTTGTTAGCACGAAAAGCAGCATTAAAAAAAAAGTGGAGCATCAAAATACTTTATTTCAAAACTACTTTATGCCTAATCCCAGATGTAATTGGAACCATATTCATATTCTATAAGTTTCTGAATTTCATTTTCCTGTTTTCTTTATTTTTATGAGCAACTTACTCCACTTTGAATCTGTACTTTATTTGACATTTATTAAAGCTGTATAAAAGCCATGCACAGTTTATTTACAGTATTGTACATTAACTATGTTTGAGGACTACACAAAAATTTCACAAAACTTACTTATATGGAAAGATATGTGAAATGGGGCTTTAAAAAATTTTAGGTACAGAATTTTGTGAAGATTATGTTGGTTTCTAGTGTTATGCAAGCATTAGCTTGAAGTAAGACTGACAGAAACGTGCAAATGAGTAGAATTTCAACAAATGAAAAACTACAAATGTTCTAGCTAAAAGCTAAAATATCTTGAAATACTACTATGTAGCAATGGAAATTTATAAAACAAACCAAAAAAAGGTTATTTTTTGAAAGTCTTTCATGAATAACAGGCTCTCAATAATATTCTATAAAAACATTCAGAAATAAAGTTTCTTAAATTCTGTTCATCATCAAAATTATGTTTCCAGTGGTGACTGAAGTTGTGAATTGTAAATAATTATTTACTGTCCCACATGGGAAGTCTCAATGTCATCCTTTGGGGAGAGGAGGAGAAGAAATCAACCAGCAAATTTAGATTCAAGTAAAAGATCCTGGTACAGATATCATGAACACAGAGTAGAGTGTTGCAATAATGTACAAGTCCACATACTTTCAACTGTACCCCTACAATGGAAATGTAAACTTTAGGTTTGTTCAATTTAAGATCTCCTATTAGGAAGTAAGTACCTCATCCTTCAGAGTTCAGGAAAATATTAATAGGGATTTCTTCTTCTCCAGTGGCAGCTCTTTCAGTTTTTACTGTTGTGGCTGAAGTACATTTAGATACTCAGACTGCCCCAACTGGTAAGTTGTGTTCCTTCCACAATCAACATACTGGTACCTCTCCTGCGATATCTGTTCAGAGTGTCCAAAGTATGTTGTTGTCACAGTAACTCTAAAAAAGAAAACAACAACAATAAAACTCAAATGGGGAGAAACATTCAACAGTTATATTAAAAAAGTCTTCCAAAGTGAGAATACTTTTATACAACCAAAATTTTCTCCTGAAAGACACTGATTAATGGTAACTTAATATTGTGGACATGAGCCTCTTGGGGACTACTTCCCTGACAGATAACATAAATGCTGGTTTAGCAAGCCCTACTCAAATAATTATACAAAACAAATATAATGTTTCCAGAACACTTATCATTAGACAAAAATATGTAAGTTCATTTCACTTTTAAAAATAATTATATACAGGCAGCTGCATAGCTCAGTCGGTTGAGCATCTGACTCTTCGTCTTGACTCAGGTTATGATCCCATGGTTGTGGGATCGAGCCCTCCAACCAGCTCTGTGCTCAGCACAGAGTCTGCTTCAGATTCCCTCTCCCTCCTGCTCACTCACTCACTCAATCTCAAATAAATAAAAAAATAAAATCTTAAAAAAAAAATCATAGTTCTCTCATCACAGGAAAATCTATTCAGATGTCAGTTAATGGCCCAAATACCAAGCCTATAACCTACAGTGTTTTAATGACTTTGAGTAACACCACACTTTCAAACCAGTAATAGTACTTCTCATTACTTTTAAGGATTTTTTTACCACAGGCAGCAGAAAATTGGATGCTGCGCTCTGTTCTCCTCTCTAATCCACCCACTTCCACTTTCCAGCATTCTTGCAAGGTCCAGATTCACTACTTAGTGGCCATGTAATCCTTCACCTCTGAGCTCCCCACTTCCTCATTTGTCAAGTGAAATAATATTTACTCATCTCATCACACTTTTGCAGGGTTTAAAACCCAAATGAACTGATATTTGTAAAGTTGCTGTATATGCTATAAGCCAATGTTATAAATCTAAAGTTTAGTAAAGAAAATCTCAAGAAAAACTGATACTTACTGCATCATGAGTACTATGTTATGCACTTTGATGGATATCAGTGTACAGAAATCACTGTTAAAAAGAAAAAACAATGTGAATAAATGCAGGCTATAATATTACAAATTTAAAATCATTTAATTACGATTCCTCCCATATTAGAGCTAACAGAGATACTATAAAGAAGATATAAGTGGGGCACCTAAGTGGCTCACATGGTAAGCATCTGACTTGATTTCAGCTCAGGTCATTATCTCAGGGTCCTGGGATCAAGCCCAGAGTCAGGATACCTGCTCAGCGGGGAGTCTCTTGTCTCCCTCCCTCTACCCCTCCATGTCCACCCCTGCTTGTGCATGTGCTCTCTAAAATAAATAAATCTAAAAAAAAAGGAGATACAAGCATTTATTGATTGAACATTTTCTATGCATCAAATAATAATAAATATTTTCATGACTTTTCATTCTAGAAACAGACATGCTTTCCTACTACTGCAGTTGTAGAGTTGTTTAACACAGGCTACAAATTATTGTTACTTTTTATTCACCTTTTGAAATTGTAGTCAACAGTCTGTTACTCAGAATTCTGTTAGCCTGATTATCAAAAGATGGTAAAAATTTATCCATTTTTTTTACTTAATGAGAGTCAATAATCAGACCCAAATGAAAAGCTTCAGAACTTCAAACCAACAGAGTATTATAAAGTACTAGCACTTTTAGTTTTCCAATAGTAAAAAGTCAATACATACTAAAATGTATGAGAATACAGTTCTCGGAATAATTAGAAGGTGACATGGTATATTTGTCTTAATTCTGAAAAATAAGTAGAAAACAAAACTAGGTATATAGGTACATAATGCATATAATAAATATGATGTATGCTGGCACAGGAGAACAGAAAGAGAAGATCAGTGAGAGGCCGGGAGTATTCCAAATGTGGTTTCTTGACTGCTAGGATGGCAGGTAATTCAGAAGATATCCATACACTTTATTCCTCACTTTATAATCTAATGAGAGAAAATTATTAAAAATCAAAACTTACTACATGTAACTCATTTCCTCTGCTATGACAGTAGGTACTGTATAATCAATCTGAAATGCAAAAAATGAAAGTAAGCCAACTGGAAAGAGGGGCAAAGCATCAAATATTTCAGACACCTTTCACAATTTCAAAGCGTTTAGAAATATCTCCCTTTGCAAAGTTGCTTCTAAGACTTTCTCTTACACATGGAAGGGACGCATGTCAAGGTCAAGTTTTGGAGGAAATCCTCCCCTCCCTCAAGTTAATATGAGAGACAAAGTCAAGACTCCTTGAACTCCTGTGAAGTATTTCATGATGGAAGCTTACTTGTTTCATATCCAGTGGGCCAATATTGGTTATGTTGTTTAAGCGTGCCTTTCCAATAACTGTTTTGGAAAACTGAACTTGTGCAGTGATGTTTTCAACTTCAACAGAATAATAGTTATTGTTTGTTATATTTAGTGTGTTCTGCAAAAGAAACAAGACAGAAAATATATAAGCATACCAAGTATGTATTCAAAATTAATTTAAAAAAGTGACTTCAAAAAAAATAAGTAAGACTTCAGCTTTGGCCATGCTTCAGTTATTAGGAGGAAGAAAAGTATTGCCAAAAATAACATAGGACATTAAATGAACTGATTATTTGGTTTTATGATGAGTGCTATATTATGCTGATAATAAACATACAATTTAAAAAAACAGGCCCAGAAAATGTACATTATAGGAATATACAAAATGAATGTTAGAAAATGTATTTGTGGCCTTAGCAAAAATTCTATAACAATAATTTTTAAATTTCATCTAAATTTTTGCTAAATGTTAATATACAGGTATCTTTACAGACTTTACCAGTAAGCTACTTCTTATTCTATTAAATACAAAGATGACTATTTAAAACATTAAATAGTACTTTAAATAAATTCTGTTTAAAAAGAATTGGTATTTTAACTTATATATAAGTAGAAATTTCCACCGGGTCCCTTTGAAGAAGAAATAGGATAGATTCAAGTCTGTTTGTTGGAAAGAAATGGAGCTACATCATTTCTATTCTTAATAAGTGGGGGAACTTTTGCAATTCTAATTCACAACAATTATCTCAAATTATTTTAGAAAACGGCCAATGAAGAAAAAAATGTTAAGTCAAGAAACAACAGATAAAAAATAAAACATGTGAAACAGTCATCATGAAAGAGAATCTACAGGAACTAAATGATATATCTTAAATATTTGTAAGGCAGATTGTAATGGTTACCACCTATACAAAAAGAGTCCTTACAAACTGAAAAGACAAAGCCTTAAGAAAAAAAATAATAAAGCAAACAAGAGCAAAGCATATTGAAGAAATAAATCAAAACAGTACAAATATAAATGATGAGAAAACACTTAGAAATTCTCCAATTCATTTAGAGTTGGGGGTAAGTTGTTTTAGTACAAAAGGAATATTGTTTTATATTCATTAAACTAGTAAAACCTGTAGCAAGCAACAAATTCTACTCCTGGCCGGGATATGAGCAAAAGGGTCTATTTTTACATTCCTGGAAAACATGTGAAGCCTTGCAGCCATTCTGATGCAGAATCTAGCAACAGCCATTAATATAAAAATAATGTATATCCTGTGACCTAGCAATCGTACTTGAGCATTTATCCTAAAGAAATAAAAACACTGGGATGTTAATGACAACAGTGGCAAAAACAAACAAACAAAAAAGACTGAAAATAAACCAAATGACCAGCTATAAAAATAATGACTGAATAGTATTAAAGCGCTACATGGAATATTATGCAGCCCATTAAAAAGAATGGATTAACTCTAAGCCAGAAAATTAGGAGAGATTTCTACAAGGTATTAACAAGTGAGAAAACCAAGATGCATAAAATATGTACATATGAAAATAAATATTAAGAAAAGCTAAATGTGGGCTTATAAATTAATATGAACATGGAGAAAGATGGAGAATGGCAATTATGGGGTAAGTGAAAAAGAGAGAAAACAGTCTCAGTAAAAAAGGATAAAAAAAAGAATATGCTAGCAATCAGTGATTTTTATGATCACATTTATTTATTAATCTAGTTATATGGAGAATTAAAATTCCATAATGTAGTAGAAATAACCTTTATCTAAATATATAAAAGTTTTCATCTACTTAGCTCTTAATACCCATGTCAATTTAACTTCTAGACACTATAGAAAAGGGATTGTTAATTTGAAGTCAATGGACCTTCTGATACAGGCCAAAGAATGGGATGCAGAAAAATCATGGACTCCTTTGTACGTGCAAATAACGTTGGTATGTGTCTTTCTCTGAAGTGCCCATAGCTATTAAAGGGATCAATAATGCAAAACTGGTTGACAACAAAAATACAAGAATTAGAAAAGATGTATTGATCATTAGAATTACAAAGAAACATTAAGACAGACCAAAAAAAAAAAGACAAAGTATGGTACTATCAGACATTTTATTGCTGAGAGCAGTGAGAATCCACTTGATCTGTAAGTCAAGAGACCACAGTCATTAACTTTTAAGTAATGATGATTTATTATCAAAAACCTTAAAATGATCTGTGATCTTTAGTTAGCAAATGTGTATTTAGGAATCTATCCTATAGCAATAACCTAAAATGGAAACAAAGTTTAAGTACAAAGATGTTTTCTGAGTATTAGTAATAGCAAAATTAAACATCTATTAAGAAATGGTTGAATAAATGGCAATACAGCCATATAGAAGACTACATGAGGGCCCTTAACATGGGAAAATTTAGTGAGCTCTCAAGGTAAAATATCCACATGTATATGAAAATATCTGACTACATTTATAAATATATATTTGTATACAAATGTATATATGCATTATTAGCAAATATATGTATATATTAATAGGTCTAGGTAGCAGACGTAAAAACAGACATCAAGGGTGTCAAATGTATAAGGGTAACATATTCATAAGCAGAAAGACAAATATTACTGTAACAGAGAAAGTAGTAAGAATGTCTATTTCTCATTTTAAGAAATAAAAGTAATATTATATAATTCCATTTTCCAAAATACTGACAGAGAACCTATAAAAACTCAACCTTTTATCTCACAATTTTCCAGTCAAACTTAATGTTTATCTACTATGATAATGCTATTTCTTATTTAATGTTCAGTCTTTCTCAGTTAAGTGTATCTCAAAAAAGTGGGAATTCCTGAATAATTACTGAAGTATGATATTTACATCTTAATGCACTGATTTATAAAAGGGAACATCACATGACTTTTATTTTAAGATTTTTATTTATTTATTTGACAGATAGCGATCACAAGTAGGCAGAGAGGCAGGCAGAGAGGCAGGCAGAGAGAGAGGAGGAAGCAGGCTCCCTGCTGAGCAGAGAGCCCGATGTGGGGCTCGATCCCAGAACCCTGAGATCACGACCGGAGCCGAAGGCAGAGGCTCAACCCACTGAGCCACCCAGGCGCCCCTCACATGACGTTTATTATACATTTATAATATCTGATACTAAAACGAGTTCTGGAGATTGGCCCAAAAAATCTGGCCACTTTTAAAAAACTGTACACAAAGAAAAATACATTCCTCATTCCAGATGGCTGTTAAAATGAAAAAATACTCAACAGTAATTCTCTAGTCATATGAAATTGATTTACAATTAGCACTGTGTTATTTTATGTACATGTTTTTTCCATAGATACTTTTTTTTTTTAAAGCCCTTAATCTGATTAACAACTTTTGGTGCTAAGCAATGAGAATAAATGGACCCATGGGAATTCATTCTTTCCTTTAATTAATGAGTAATTCCACTTTAACATACCATTTCTCTACACTCCTGTCCCTCCAAACCTCTCCCCCGCAACTACAACTAGCTGTATCTCTACCTCTACCTCACGCATACGGTACCACCTCCGCAAAGAAAACCAACTAAAGTCCAGCATCACTCTTCCAAACAAACCACTGCCACACAGATGCACTCTGAGGCCTGAACCCATACATAATTCCTAATGGCATAACCAATACATGTTCCTTTTTAATAATTCAGTGGTTTGCAAATCATGCTTCTTTTCAAACAAATATTAACATATAAACAGGTAGACCTTCTCTGAGGTTTTGTTTCCTGTTTTCAAGAGTGGGAAGGCTGTAGAGTATTAAAAACGAGTGTCCAGGAAAATACTGCAGATATTTTCCCACATACTAATTTATAAGAGAAATCAGTCTGGTGTACTTTAAACGCCATAAAGGAATAGTCTGTTAAAATGGCAAAAACTGTATTTCACCAAATACAAGGAAAAGAAAACGGTACATTTATCACATTTATAGAATCAACTATTTTAACATTTTGCTAGGAATTAGTTGGAGTCAAATGTTGAAAAGTAAACAGATTGTACATGTTTTTTTTTTGCCAGCAACTGTTTGTGTTACCATCTTAAAGGCAACTCCAAAGGCTAAACAATTCTGTATGTACAATTGCCAGTAATTATTATTTGCCATTTTCAGCAGAACCAGAAATGATAGAGGATCAAAAGCAGACATACAGAAAGCAAACTGACCAGTGTCACATTTAATATTCTCTAAAGGGACAAAGGTGTATATCATAAAGGAATGCAGTCAAATATTTTTAATGTGAATTTGTACTTACCGTGATATTTAAATATACTGTACGCTTTTGAACATCATAACTGACGTATGCTGATTTTACGCCAATGTATTTCACGTCAATAGAGCGAGGGAAAAGGAAAAACACAGCCAATCCAGAAAGGAGCAGACAGACAAACACAGAAGCCATCACATACAGCTTTCTGAAAAGAAAAATGAGTATTGAAATACATATGCATCAAAAATTACATAATGAAACATTCAGAGAAGGTATGTTCAACTTGAATTTTTCCCGTTATACTAGCAGGAAAAGATGTATAATTTTACCAACCTTTTACATTATAAAAGTATTTAGTTGGGTTGGATCTGGTCTATTACGTGTTAAAATGTTCTCCTTAAAAGATGTATGTACCTTTTTGGAGACTGGGGTTTCAGGGTTACTGCACATACATTTACTACAGTGTTTCCTAAACCAGGCTACACAGTGGAAGTGGGGGAAAAGCTGGGGAACTTTATAAAAATATGGATTTCAAGACACCCTTCTAAATTCACTAAAGCAGAATTCTCACATGTGGGTTTTGCCATTATATAATTCCCTGAAGTGACTGCTCATCAGAACCTGTGAAGCCCTTAAAAACATAATGACATAACCACATGCCTCATCAATCTCATGAAGTCTCACTAAGACTTTGAGTCTCATCCCAAAGTATTTATGTACTCAGATTTAAAAATATTGTTTACATTAATCAACTCTGCTTTGATGATGTCGCTAAACTGTTTCTTGAAAATCAGAAAAGGGGATAATAGTATGCAGATATAAGACAAGAAAAAATAAACTTTCCACGCTTTTCTACTCTTCTAACTCCCCTTGAAATGTAGTTCTTCTATCTCTCCCTCTTTATTTCCAAACTCCAGAGACAAAAATTGCCTCTATCCTCAAGTTTACCCTCAAAACTAGGGTTTCAAAATACAAATTTTCCTCGTTTCTCCAACAAGTAACTCTCAGTTCAAAGCCCACAGCACCTTTGTTTCTTTCTTTCTAGGTCTGTGGAAATAATTTGAGTACTCCACACAATTCCTTGTGAATAATGAGATTTTCCACAATGACTCGTGGAAACTATCCCCGGCCTCATGTGGGCTCTGAGGACTGTCCCCTCTGTTCTGTTTTGTGTGGTTCTTCCTTCAGCCTCAGGTACTTTCCTCACATATTATACACTGATCAGTACTCAGTGAAACACTCAAGGAGTACCCAGTATAGCTCTCTACCCTCCTACACCTACCCAGTGTAGCTCTCTACCCTCCTCTGACCTACTAACTCTAGTCTTAGACTCCTAGATCACCAATACCATGCATCTCCTCAGTTTAGGGGGACTGCTAAGCTCTGCCTGGGTTCTTTCCATTGTGCTGTGCTCTGGTATCTTTTCCTAGACAGTAAGGGGGTATAATCCCAGGGCTTACCTCATTTGTTTTCCCTTTCTCTGTTATCACTGTCCTTGTACTGCCTGATGTCCACTATCTAGAAATACTGTTTCATTTTATCTGTCCAGTTTTTTAGCTGCTTTAGATGGAAGAATATATCTAGTCCCTGTGATGATCCCATCTTGCTTGGAAGAGAGAAATCAAATTTATTTGATTTTGTACTTTTACCCCTTAGTTTTTATGCTGAGAATCTTATCCCTAATGGCATTAGTATACACTTACTTACCTGCTTTACGTGTAAGTTTCAAAATTATACTAACATTACTCCTAACAATGCAGCTTTTGAGTGCAGTTCAAACTTTTGTTGTCATCGTCTTTGTCATTTAGAACACATCTTACTAGACACTGACAGTCAAAATGAAATATTTTCAAGTCACTTAAAGTTATTCTTTCATCTGTAGTTATGCCACCAACTAGATATAGTCAGAATCATTAGAATCATTTGTTTCAGTTTGTTTCAAATTTTAGGAATTTTTTTTTTTTTTTACTTCGGATTTCATCTTTTAAGTTCTATTTTTTAAAAACGTACTTCTAAGCCCCAAATATAAATAAATAGACATACACACGATCATCTCACTTGCTTACCTATTCCCTCTTCAAGTTCCCTCCCAAACTCTGAGAGTAATCATTTTATTAGTCTTTGGTTTATCAATCCACTGTTTCTCCCTCCTTCTCTGTATTCACGTGTGTTTTCAGATAAAAACGTACTCTGGATATCAACTCTAGTAAAATATAGAGTTCTTCCTCATTCCATTTTATCATATATAGATGTAGCATAACTTATTCTACCAGAACCTTATCACTGGCCATTTACATTATTTCTAGTCCTCTGCAATTATAGACACTGGCACAGTGAGTAACTTATGTAAAAGCCACTTACTATATCTGACAATTATCCTTAGAAAAAAATTTTCAAAGTAGAATTCCTGAGCCAAAAGGTAAACGCATATGTAATTTTCCTAGATAACAACAAATTCCCCTTCACTAACAAGATAAAAGTGTGTTCGTTTCACACAGTACTGCCAACCAATTCACTGTCAAAATTTGGAGTTCTGCCTAATCTGACAGATAAGAAACGGTATTTCACTATTGTTTTAAACTGTTTTTCTCTTATGAGCAAGACTGAACATCTTCTCACATGTTTAAAGGAACTGTGTATTTCTCTTTTATGGACTACTCGTTCATGGTATCTGTGGTAATGTGCAGACATCACTTCCCAGTTTGCCATTTGTATTCTGGCTTCATTTAAGGTTTTGTTTTCATCTTGTAAGTTAATCTAGGCTTTGTCAAATTAATCTTTTCTGTCCTCACTGGATTCTGAATCCTATGTAAAGTTTTTCCATCCTGAAATTATAGAGGACTTAAGCCTAATATCTTGAACATTCATAACCATCTACTATATGTTTTATAATAAAGGGTCAGATCAACCTTTTTAAAATCTTGTTCATTTTTTTTCTATGAATATTTAAATATGCTGCTCTACTGGTTACTTACTTGGAACACTGTGGGTAAGAAGCAGGCCAATCTGATTTTCTGTCCCTTATAAATTAATTGATCCTTCTGCCCGGGGTCTTTCAAAGGGTTTTTCTGGGGTTTTTTTGCTTTTTACATTTGAAGTCCAGTAATTTCACTAGGATGGATAGAATGTTTTGAAGATCATGGCATGTCTTTTCAATATGTAGGTCTGTGTCTTGTTTCAGTTGAAGTGTTGGTTTTTTTTTTTAAAGATTTTTTTTTTTTAATTTGTTAGAGAAAGAGAGCATAAGCATGGGGAGTGGCAGGCAGAAGGAGAAGCAGGTTCCCTGCTGAGCAAGGAGCCGGATGTGGGACTCCACCCCAGCACCCTGGGATCATGACCCGAGCTGAAGGCAGATGCTGAATCAACTGAGCAACCCAGGCATCCCCAGGAAGTGTTCTTGAACTGAATGTTTAGTATTTGTTCAGTTTGATTCCTCTGATTTTTCTTCAGGGGCTTCAATTATATGAGTGTTCAATCTTTGCTTATGGTTACCTTACTTCTCATTAATTTGTGTGTGTGTTTTCATTTCCTCCTTTGTAACTTCTCTTCCCTTTGCTATACTTTTCATGGTATCTATTTGCAATTGTTCTTCCGGTCTTGTCTTCATTTCTGAAATTAATTTTTTCCTAATTCTTTCAGAGGTTCACGTCCTCATGTCTCTTTTCACGTCGTCATGTTGTTTAGTCATCTCATTTCTGAGCTTTTCAATTTATGACTCCTGCAGTTCTTTCATAGCTTCTACAGTTTCAATTTCTTTAAGAACATTTATAATACTGTTATTTTCATGTTTTTCTGATACGCTTCTATGATCTATTAGCATTTTCAGTTTAACACTATCTTTGTATGATGCTTCACTGCAATACTTTTTTGTTGCTCATCTTTAAATGAAATGTTTTTGTACTTTTAATAGAAGCTTCCATTTTAGGTGATGAGGATGAGCCAGGGTGGCCTTCCTAGCTTCACTCCTCAAAACTCCATCTTCTATTAAAATACAAAATTAAGGGCGCCTGGGTGGCTCAGTGGGCTAAGCCGCTGCCTTCGGCTCAGGTCATGATCTCAGGGTCCTGGGATCAAGTCCCGCATCGGGCTCTCTGCTCAGCAGGGAGCCTGCTTCCCTCTCTCTCTCTCTCTCTCTCTGCCTGACTCTCCATCTACTTGTGATCTCTCTCTGTCAAATAAATAAATAAAATCTTTAAAAAAAAATACAAAATTAACTTTTCTTTCTTTTTTTTTGTAAGATGGCCTATATGTATATACACTTCTATAGTTCTGAGATTCTCTCCAGTTTTCGAAACTTTTCTTCCGTTTTCCCTATCCTTTCCCTGTACAAAATGGATTCAGTCCCTCACAGGCTTTTCCTTAGGATATGTCTGTCCTGTTACAATAGCTTTTGGTGAATTTTCTTAAGGTCTTTGAGGATCAAGGTGGTCTAGTTCCTTCTGATCATAAGGGCCCTTAGTGGATCTCTGTGACCTTTTCTGCACTTTCTCCAAGGTGCAGCACACTAAGAGTCCTCCCATTTTGCAGATTATCGAGAAGTATTTGCTGGAAGTGTTCTGAGTGGGATCTTTTGCTTTTGGGACTTGTGTATCAGAACATTTGCTTTGTCTCAGAACTCTGAGGACCTTCAGCAGTTCTTTTTGTTTCCCTTCACAAATTCCACACAGCTGCTAACATGTTTTGATCCTTGCTTCATTTTTAATCTGGGGTGAGTAGGAGAACCTTAACACCCATTTTTAATGAAAATGTTTCCTACTGCTTTTCTAGGTTTGTCTGTTTTAGTAAATAGATTTGAGAAGATTCAAACACTATGCCACTTTGAAGGCCTTATCCCAATTAGAAATCCTTCTTTTAAATGACGTGAAGCATCAATGGCATAATTTAAGAACCTGATAACGTTTTTCATTTTAATAGTTAACTAGAGTGATTATATGTAATTTGAAAAGGAGAAAAATACCCAAAAAATTTGCTATTTTCTTATCATCACTTACGTCCTTCTTGGCCTTAATCTCTGATCGCTATATGGAATCAATGCCACCAGCTGGTTTTCTTGCCCTAAAAGTAAAAATAGGTTTAGAAATTTATTAATATGATTAATTAAAATATAGTGGCTTTCTATCAAAGTCTGGTTTAGAAGGACCAGAATACCATCTAGCTCTCATCTCTCTGGTAAACTGCTCAAAATCTTCTAAAATTATCTAATAGACACTAAATTCCAAAACAAATAATGTATTTTTCATAGCCTGATATCTAGTTATGAATACAAATAATACAAAGAATGAGAAAGAGTGAATGACTTTACTGAAAAAGATCGCAAGAGGCTCAACTTTCAGAAGACCAGAATTTACCAAAACTTCTTCCACTACTATTTCCTGCTTAGATTCTGATTTGGTTATCTGGGTAAGAGCAAAAGAAATATCTGCTACCTCTGTGTCCTGAAATCCTTTGCACTATACTCCTTGAAAACCAAAATCAATACATAACACATCTCATGCTTCAAAAGCCCATACAAAATGAGACTTCCACAACTCAGGTCACACATCTTTCATTTCTTGGGTTAGGCTATATCCATATACTTTAATGGATACATAGATCTTTAATAAACCAATTCTGCAATCTTATCAGAACTTGACTTTTTGTATTAACTCTTAAAGCACTACAGTCAAATTCTCTTTTAAAGCTTCCTATGTTTCCATTATTCCTCCCTGCCCCTTCTACAACTCTCCACTCATTTACACTACCTCCCCACACCCACAAGTAAATATATGTTATGTATGTATGTCTCTCTCCGTATGTACATGTATCCTGTCTTGTTTGGTGGTATTCATTTGACTAAACTACAATCCTGCTTATTAAAAGCAACCTTTAAGTTACCATGCTGATACAGCTAAATGTGGATACATAAAAACATGCAACTGTGCTCACTGGCCTCGTTTCCATCACTAATCTCCAGTGGCCTTTAATGATGTCAACCATCATACAATTTTCACACTCTCAATCTGACTCTCCAAAACCACAACTTTATAACTTCCAACTCTCGCTTCAAATCTCCAATACCTTCTTCCCTATCCTCACTCTTAGCTCATGATGGGGCAAACAGGAAAGAACTTCTACAAGCTCCCACTACCACGTCCACTCACCTACCTGTTTCTGTGTCCATATATTCTACTTCCCTACTACAAAGCCTAAACTGCAGATGCTCCTCTGTGAGAGCAGCCCCCTGCACTTGTGCACTACATCTAATAATTCCCCCATCTCCTACATTTTTTTTTTCTATGGATTATTCTCATCAGCATACATATTATTCACTCTACCTTAAAAAAAAAAAAATCCCTTTCCTGACCTCACAGTGCCCTCCAGCTACCATCTTTCTTCTTCCTTATATATACAGTAAAACTACTCAAAATACCTATTTTCTCACTATATAACTTCACTCCTCCTATACTCTCTTGATTCCACTCTGTACATGCTATAAATGTTTATGCAACCCACCAAGCTGTTCTTTTAAAAGTCTCCAGTGGTCTCCATGTACATCACCAAATCCAATGGTCAGTTCTCAGTCCTTACATTACCTGATCTGTCAGTAGCATCCAACAGGTTCTTCCTCTCTCCTACTTGGTGCACTTTCTACATTCATTTCCAGGACACCAGAGACTAAAATTTCCTCCTTCTACTATACTGTTTTTCATTGTCTTTGCTAAGTCTTTCTCAAATCACTGACTTTGAAATGTCCCAGTGCCCCCAGGTTTGGCACTAGGGTGTCTTTTTTTTTTTTTTTTTCTATTCACACTGATAAGCTTGGTGCTCTCATCCAACTCAGCTTCAAGTAACCACCTGTATTCGGATGACTCCAGCTGAGGGCTTGCACCTGAATTCCAGACACTTACTGTAACGACTTACTAAACATATCCACCTAGATGCCAAATATGCATCCCAAAACTTTTATCTCTAAAACAGAATTCCTGATCTCTCACCAGACAGACACACAAACCTGTTCTCCATCCTAATAAACAGCTACTCCATTCTTCCAGCTGTTCAGACAAAAATACTTCCAAGGTCATCCTGATTTCCTACGAACCACAGTCCATTTCCAGGCTGCCAAAAAAAGCCTATAGGCTATACCTTAAAAATATATCCAGATTGCTAAAATAGTCCTTTTTTCCCTCCTCTGAGCCAGAGGCACTAATCCTTTTGCCTAAAAAAATCCTTTCATTCTCTGAAAAGATAATACCATCACATTCAAAGGCCAACTCATAGATAAACTTCCCTAACCCAAGGCATTTTTTAAAAGAAACTGGTATAAACTGATCTGTCTTCCCTTGTCACTTTGTCCTTCCACTTTCTGCAGGAATACCTATCAACTTCAACCGGTAAATATGAATAACACAATAACACATTAAAGTATTTGTATTATTTCTATTGTTTCCACTTCTACTGAAGTCTGTCTAGCCTACAAACTGCACATGAAGATTATTCCCTTCTGAATTTCCCTATGATATGCCACAAACTGATTTTCCCCCCTACATGGCCCATCTTCATTTACCATCCCTCTTCATGTAGTTCCTCCAAAGAATAACTAACTAACTAACTAGGGCATGACTAGCTTCTTACTATTCTTTAGATAATGAATTAAAAATATTAGGTCACCAAATTACTGAAATTGTTCCCCAAACCCAACATGTGATTACCACCTCTACTGATTCCCAATAGGTCTAAAAAATTTCAGTCAAGAGATATTGCCTATCTGCTATTGCAGGTGGGAAAGAAAAAAGTACTAGAGGTAGACTGGTGGTTTTCATTACTGCTTTAGGAACCTTAAGATGTTTCTGGTCTTTTTTTTTAAATGTTTATATTTACTTCTTTGTACCTCTTTAACTGAAGATAATTAATATACAGTTTTAACTTTAATTCTAAAAGACTTCTGAAACACAGAGGGTTATGCTTAGATCTATGGGTTTTATATTATTTGTGTGAATGTCTGGAATTACTCTTTAAAGGAAAAACAACACAGTAACACATACCCCTAGGAATTCTTCCTGTTCCTTGACAAGTTGGACAAGTGACACTATCTCTTCCTGTAAATTCCACATATGGAAACTGAGAGACATCTCCACCTCTTCCATCTTCATTATGGACTTCATTATTAAGCAGTCCATTCCTCATGTTTTCAGTTGATGTGACTCCATCATAAGCATCTTCTTTATTTGAATGCAAAGGCAAATGTGAAAAAGACTTTCCCATGTCTAAAGAAAAAGAAGAATCTTACAGTAAATTTCAGGAAAAAAGTATACTCAAGAACATTATGAGATTTTTATAACAACCTAATTTTATGAGATTTTAAAATATGAGATTTTATAACAACCTAATTAATATAGAGCAAACTTCACAGGAATATTCAAATTACTTTCTGATTAGAATTCTATTTAATCAAAGTAATATCTGAAACAAGGGATCCAAAAGTCCAAAGTGTTTTTTCTTTTTTCTTTTTTTTTTTAAAGATTTTATTTATTTATTTGACAGCGAAAGAGAGATCACAAGTAGGCAGAGAGGCAAGCAGAGGGGGTAGGGGAAGCAGGCCCCCTGCTTGAGTAGAGAGCCCAATAAGGGGCTGGATCCCAGGACCCTGAGATCATAACCTGAGCTGAAGGCAGAGGCTTAACCCACTGAAGTACCCAGGCGCCCCTCTCCAAAGTGTTTTTCTAACAAAATATTATAAAATGATGTATCAGACTTGTGATGAGAATGGGCTTTCAAACATTAAAATTTTACAAGTCTATACTTTTTTAGAGTTCTCTGAAAATAAGGTGGGCTTTGCTTTTCTTAGAATAAGACAAAAACACAAAACAAAAACATATTCTATCTTTAAACCAATTAGTGCTAAAGCTAAAGTTGGTTTAGGCAAATTATGATTACTTATTATATGTATCACCAGGCAAGTTCGAAGACTTCAGTTACCTCCCATTAAACCTCAGTCTGTACTTTCTAATTGATTAAATTCTACTTTCCAGCTTATCTCTAAAACGCAGGCCAAAGATACTGAGGGCAAAGCATTCCATAAAGGGAAGCAAACAAGCACTTCAAGCAGTAAGGGGCCAGCAGGACTGATGCCAAGACAATGGTGGATCTGACCTTTACCACCCACCTGCGTGTACCCATCCAGTTTCATCCCACATTTTCCTTATATAAACTCAAAAGTATTTTCCGCACTTTGGAGACAGTATTTTGAGACCTCAGTCCCCCCTCTTCCCCATGTTGGCTTCACTGAAATAAATTCCTTTCTTGTTTCACCACCACCCCTTTCTCTGCTTTTGGATTTTTGTCAGTGGTGAGTGGCTGAAGCTGGTCTGTTTGGGACTCCTGGAGCCAGGTTTCCTTGGGCCTAAGCCCTGGTTACAAGTTCAAAGTAGTAAGTTTCAGTCTGTTAAAATTCATGCCCCTTTGTGATAAATAAAATCCACAATTCTTCTCATTCTCACATTTCTAGCCTTAACATTTAAAACATAACTCAAAAACCAAATCCTGCATTTTTTTCTTTCAACAGTTGGCACACTTAAAATTATGAAATTAATATTCAAAGATATTTAATAATTCACCAATACAAAGCAGTAAAACTTAGTACATTAATTTCCAAAATTTTAGTATGATGCTATAAAAAATAACATGGGTAAAATTTAAATTTATATTTAATACAAATTTAAAACCAAGTAAGAATAGGTAGTAGTAGTACCTATAAATACCATACCTATAGCAAAATAACCTCTGCAGGGAGGTAATGCAATAGCACTGCAGTTGAGTCATACAATTTTAGATTTTTTTAAAAGATTTTATTTATTTATTTGACAGACAGAGATCACAAGTAGGCAGAGAGGCAGGCAGAGAGAGGAGGAAGCAGGCTCCTTGCTGAGCAGAGAGCCTGATGCTGGGCTCAATCCCTCGACCCTGGGATCATGACCTGAGACAAAGGCAGACGCTTTAACCCACTGAGCCACCCAGGAGCCCCGAGTCATACAATTTTAAGGATGAAAAAGAACTTAAAAGTCATATAATCCAACCTGCTGATATTGTGAGGGAAAATGAATAAAACATTTAAACATTTAAAAACATTTCTTCTCTTCCTAAATTTGACCATATATCTTTTATCAGTTCCTAAAAATTTATTATTATATATACATTCATACAAAGAGATGAGCATTTCTTTTAAAAATTCTAACTCAGGGACGCCTGGGTGGCTCAGGTGGTTAAGCTTCTATCTTCTGCTCAGGTCATGATCCCAGGACCCTAGGATCCAGTGAGTTCCGAGTTCCACATGGGGCTCCTTGCTCTGTGAGGAACCTATTGCTCCCCTTACTGTGCACTCGCTCACTCTCTGACAAATAAATAAAATCTTTAAACAAACAAAAAAAAAACCTCAATGGGGCGCCTGGGTGGCTCAGGTCATGATCCCACCTTCCTGGGATCAAGCCCAGCATCAGGCTCTCTGCTGGGGGGCGGGGGGGAGCGGCTGCTCCCCTCCCCACTACTTGTGATCTCTCTCTCTGTCAAATAAATAAATAATCTTCTAAAAATTTATAAATTCTCAGTGATTTGAGTAAGGAAAACTGACAATAATTCAAGTCATACTGGAGTACAAAGAGAAGTTCACTTTTTAAGACTGGCATGCCATCCAAGTGTTGGGGATCATTCAAACAGTGTAAACAGGAGGATAAAAAAATTATACAACTAGCAGACAAATATAAAAGTGTAGAATGATGAAGATGCTTATTTTCACAATTTTATTATTAAAAATCTCCATATACATTGTACGTGTTAGGTTTAAAAACAAATGAGCTTGTAACTTTCGCAAATGCATTATCTTCTCTTGGTTTGTCTAATGACATTAAGTCCAAGCCAAACCAACACATGCCAGTCACAGGTGGTTCAGGGGCGAATTAACATCGCTCTCCCCACACAGTGACCTCTGTGTGAAATATCAGTTGGACAGGCATTGAGGGCCTCAGCAGTGTGGCCACAGAAGCATCCTTTCTGGGATCTCAGTTAACACACGAGGGTAAAATGCATCCCACTAGAATGCTTTGGTGAGGGGATGAGGGGAGACACAAGGCAAGATCAAGTGGCTCTCAGTCTGGGCCTGTCTTCTATGTGTATCTAACAGTTGATGAGTCTGCCTTTAACAGGTGTTTCAGCAAGGCTAACTGACTAGCACCAGACTTCGTCAGATACCCCCCACCCTCCCTACTGGATTTTCCTCACAGTGTAGAAATATTTAGCCAATTCTATTCCTGGACACTTGCTGGTTTGTTTATCATTAGGTGCTAAACCCCCTTCACTTCCCTGTATTCAATGTTTTTATCACAATTTCCTACTGAAAACCCAACATGGATCTAAGACAGCAAGGAGAGATTAAAAAGAAAAAAAAAAAAAGTACAGCACTCCATCCAATTTAAATGGGTCACTATCTTCTGTGATAACGAAGAAAGCCAGCACCATTCCTAAGCTACATAAACAAGACTCGGCACACAGCCTACTCTGTAAAGGTTAAACATAAGACAAGGGAACCGTGCAAGAAAACTCAAGAAAAGCAAAACCAGGGGCCACCTGGTTGTACAAGGTGTGGGGGCCTGGATCAGCCTTATGCTCTGGGCTTGGGCCAAAGCCTAAAGCTCCCCCGGCAAGAGGCTGGACCCCGGTAGGAGGTGACACAACAACCAACAACGCCATCAGCCAACCCTGAGCGCCTCCTCGGTGCCCGAACTGGCCCAGCTCCCCTGCGGCCTCTCCGCCTATAACTCCCCGTCCCTCTCGGCTCTTTCCAAGGCGCCGCCACTCAGTTCCACTCCAAAATATGGACCGAGGGGCTGCGCGTCCGGGGTCGCTCACCAACACTCGGGTCGCTGCGCAGTCCCGAGCTGCTCCGGCGCACACAGGCCCGAGGACAGGGTCACGGGGTCTGACGTCCGGATCGCTGGGGCTGGAGCGACAGGCCTACAAGCGCCGGGGTACAGCGGATTCGGGGCGGGGGAGGAGTGGCAGGACGACAGCATCAGCTGGGGCCAAGCGCTGCTGCAACCTGCGTCCGCACCTGCGCAGAGCGCTTTCGTAGGAGGTGAGTGACCTAGGAGCGTGCACTACGCATGCGTCCTCCCTCCGCTCGGCTGAATCCCGGAAGCGCAGCGGCTGTGACTGTGCACTCTCCAGGGGTTTTGTTACCTAGGTCTCTCAAGACTTAAAGGTAAAAGTCTAGCCCTGGAAAATTTAAAAAGCAATAGTACCACCTTTTTTCCCCCTCCCCTATTAGGCCTTTTCCTTTTGCAAAGGGGGAAAAATATTTGCCGTCTAGTCCACGCTGTGCGAGTCGTCGCTCATGCTCGCGATGTTGGGAGTAGGATGAACTGGTTGGTAGACGCAGGTTTGGCAGCTGAAAATTCAAATCGTTTAAAATTTAGAACCTCTTGCCGGGTAGAAGGAAACTAAGCGCGGCAGGAGCCGTGTTTTGGGGAATTTGTTTTGCTTTGCTTTGGTTTTCCTTCTGTTTTTGCACATGGGTCACCATCTTCCACCCCTGTCCCCTTAACTCAGTGGTTACAGCCGTAGTAGATCCCAGCTCAAATTCCTTCATAGAATTTTACGTTTGATTAATATTAGCTCTTGTTACAATCACGGTCACAGCATGCATAGTAACCAAGGGAGGAAGTAATAGTAGTACTTTATTTCTCTTCTGGCGGGATTGGTGTTTGGCTCGTGGAACATGAAGATAAGTAAAAGTAAGAAATACAAGTCAAAATAATATACAAGTTATATCCATATGTGAGATAATAAACTTCACACAATGTTGGCGAAAATGTAATCTCATAACTTCCTGACAATAAGGCAGTATGTATGAAGAATATTAAAGATTTCGGCGCACCTGGCTGGCTTAGTCGGAGCTGAGTGGACTCTTGATCTCCAGGTCCCGAGTTCCAGTGCCACCTTGGTTGTAGAGATTACTAAAAATAAATGAACTTTTTAAAAAAGTATTAAATATTTTAATTATCTCATCCTTTAGCTCAGCAGTCTCACCCTTTGGAATTTATCCTAAAGCTAACAAGAACTCTAGAAAGATTCCTGTACAAAGTGTGTTCATTTAACCTAAATGTCCAACAATGAGATACTGATTAAATCATTGTCAACCCCTTTAGCTAAATCTTCCAAAGGTGGAGGAAGAGGAGAGGCGATGGCATCTTCCCCTAAAATTGTTTGAATTTTCAAAATAAATAGCTTGGCTATGACAAATCAGAATCTTGGGGACTCTACTGTCCCAGTGGAAAACAGATAGACAACAGTATTTGTATACATTTTCAGAGTGTTCACAGATTTTCTTGAAGTCTGTGCATTAAGACCAGAGTAAAAATCCTGGCTGTGAAATAATTAATAAGGACTAAAATGGCAAGAAAATGGGTTATAAAACTCAATTAGATAAAGATGGCTGTACTGTATTTAGACCTAAAGCAGTACAACAATGGTGTCATATCTGCTAGCCATTATTTCTCCTTGGTTTCAAAAGTGGCTTTGGGAAATGACTGTTACGAATTAGAGATACAGAGACAGGAATCAGTTGTGTATCAATACTAGGTGACACCACATTTCTTTTCAGAAAACTGAACAGATTCACCTCTTTTTGCAGTTTTAAAAACTTCCTCTGCCCAAAAAGTATTTTCATTATTTAAATCGAGTTTAACATTTGAAGGAATGGGTGTTAATTTTTATTTATGAAATGGGACACCCGTGATTCTGGCTATAGGGGCTTTTTGGAGCTTCAGTGGCCAGCAAGGTGAGGAATGGTGGAAAGATGTCCAAGTAGATTTGGTGCTTTATGGATTATCATTGTAAAAAACACAAATGCCCTAACCATGTAAGTAATCCTCTAATATAAAACAATGAATTTCATGTAAGAATGAATGAATAAAAATCAAATTATTTAAACATTTAAAGTTTTAAGTCCTAAGGAACTCCTATATCAAGCTCATCATTTCCATATCTAGTATTCCCTGACCTGAAAGTAATGTTTTTTTTTAAATCTAGCTGAATCCTATAGTTAAATAACGTTGTATTTTCTCATTGCATATTAAATCTGAAATAGGAAGTGGAAGATGAGAAACAAAATATCTGAGCAGAGATTCCACTCATGACTCCCCAGGACGGATAGCTGGGAGGCAGCCTGGCAGGGACAATGTGGCCCCGCCCTAAGAGGAAACTACCCTAAGAGGATTTTACACCACCTTGGAAGGAGCCCTCCACCCTTTCCCCTGTGATTGATAGATGACAACTTGATTGCATGTCAGGTCTGGTGGCAGGTGTGGGGGCGGGGGGGGGATGTTAATCAGATTAAAACAGCCCACTAAGAAGCCCATAAAAAACCCCTAGACTTAGAAACTGTGGTTGCAACCCTCTCAGGTCCGCTCCTTTCTTGGGAGCTTTGTATTATTACTTTGCTATCACTCAGTAAACTTGCTTTGCTGCCCACCACTCTGTCTGGTCTACCTCTTCATTCCTTGAAGTGGTGTGACGAAGAACCATGGGCACCCAAGGAAAAATTACTGCAGCACCTGGTTTTCCAGTCTTCTAAAGTCACCCTTTACATTAAGAGGCAAATGAACTTTCTGTAAGTAGAGAGAGGAGAAAGAGAAGTCATTTTAGTCCCCCATCTATTTTCTGTGATCTTATTGCCTACTTGCCTTAACATTTTTTTTTAAGATTTTAGTTATTTATTTGATAGAGAGATAGCATACATAGGCAGAGCAGCAGGCAGAGGGAAAAGCAGGCTTCTCAAGCAAGGAGTCACATGTGAGATTTCTGGGATGAAGACCCAAGCAGTTATTTAGGCAAATACCTAAATGACTGAGCCACCCAGGCGCCCACCCTAACACAACTTCTAACAGAGCTTTCCAGAAGGTGTCAGAATTACAAATAACAGCAAAAACCTCAGTAGTTAAAGATAAGGAAATAAAGAGAATGCAATAACTAACATCTTTAACAAGCCAGGACATAGCCTAACTATATCAGAGACAATAAAATAGTAGTAAAAGCCCCCATAACTCCCTGTGCTGTTTCAAAAGTAAGCCAGTTGCTGCATTCTTTACCAGAGAAAAGGAGCCCAAGACACCAGCTTATAATTAATTACTCTTAGAGCAGGCCCATAGCCCCTTCTCCTTGTCCAGCAGTTACCTCTGCTTCATTATATTAAAGTCTCCACCCTGGGAGTAGCACAAGCTTTATTAACATAACATAGGATTGGGTATATAGGGGTGTTTTTTTTAAGAATACCTGTGCAGTGTTATGCCCACCTTTCCTTGTGATGACAAAACTCCCATTTCTGAATATTGATCCTCACCCTAAATAAAAGAAACTCACTTACCCCACTCAGGGAGTTATGGCTTTGGAAGTTATTCACAGTGATCTTAATTACTATAAATAAAGTTTCCTCTGTGACAATTCCACCTGGTGTAATCTCTACTCACCAAGGAGAGAACTTACGTTCCATTACACCACTTCTTCAAGGGAGTGCATTCCCCAATTTTTCTAAATATTTCTGAGGAGAGGCTTACAACTTTGTTGATAATTGACCATGATTATTTTATGGGCTTTGCTCCCGGCTCATGTCTTGATCACTTTGTCCTATCTAATCCCCGCTTCTAGATGATGCTTCTCTCTATAACCCTTTGCCAAGTGTTTAAACATGGTTCCTTTCCATCATACTGCAAGTCAACAATAAATGGAAGCCATATATGTAATTTAAAATTTCCTAGTAGCTGTTAGAAAAAATAAAAAGAAATAGGTAGGATTAATTGTAATAACCCAATATGTCCAAGACATTTTTATTTCAACATGTGTAATAAAGATAATTAATGAGATATTTTACATTCTTTTTTCATATGAAGTCAGAAATTGGCCTGATTCAATTTAGGGTAACCACATTTCAAGTTCTTAATAGCCGCATGTGGCTAGGACAACTCTTTTAGACAACATAGCTGCATACAGTAACACAAAACACCAACAGAGTTCCTAGGATTTTTTGATTATGAAGAGCCAAAAAGCTTTAGTTTTAGAGAGAAAATATCACTTATGTTTTTTCTTAATATCTGTTGAGATTTTTGTGCTAACCCCAAACTTTCCTTTAATTTTCCTTTAATTTCCTTTAATTGTGCTTGTTCCCTCTTTCTAAATACTGGTATCTAAAGTTCCTCCACACTGTGACTCCTAAATTATGACAGTTTGGTCTAGCTTGGCCTATTGACCTTATTACTTGTTATATTTTCCAACATGGGACCCCTAACAAAGATTTTTGGAAATTTTCATGAACCACCGAAATGCATAGGATGACCAGGTTAGTTTTATATTTAAGACAGACGAGGCATGTAGAAACTGGCATACCTATAAGAGGTGTGTCAGAATATATGTGCCTAACATTCTAATTTCAACTTTTCAAAATTTTTAAATATCAGTAGGAAATACTGCCTGTTCAATTCTGTTGATCTCCAGATTAGTCTTCAAATTTTAAACATTAGTAATTAATAACGATGACCTTAAAAGAGTAACAAATATTAGTATATAGAAGAGGGCATTGGACATCAGTACAGAACAATGTCCATTCAAGTCAGTGTTCTACTTTAAACAGAAACGATGTATGTTTTCTGAAAAGACCTATTTTATCTCTAAGAAATCAACCTCAAAAATAATGTCTTTCCTTCTCTATTGCTTAAAATCTAGTGAGGTAAACAGGTAAATCAATGGAATAATGAAATATGTTAAGTATGTGAATGATAGAAGAATGCTGTCTAAGTACTACTAAAAGATTGATGAAGATTTCCTGGAGAAGGTGAGGAATGTGTAGGAGAGTTTTAATTTATTTTTTTATTTCCTTAACGTTTTATCAGGGTATAATTGGATACCATTAACTGTACATGTTTAAAGTGTACCACCTGAGAAGTTTGAACATACACATGTACTTGTGAAACCATAACCATAATCAAAATAATGAATATATTCACTAACACAAAAATTTCCTTGTGTCCTTTGTAATTCCATCTTGCTATTCTTCCACTGATCTAT